TAATCTATAAAAATATGTTGCTTAATAAAAACAGAATATTATGAACACAACTTTCACATGTATGTAATTTGTTTAAATTAATAAATATTAATAAAGTGTTTTATGCTCTTATAACCTCCTTAAGATCGAAGCACAGACTTTTGCATAACGCCTGATGCATAAAGCGTAAGAAAATCAACCAATTCAGAATCTTTTATTTCATGGAAAGGAAAGAGATCGCTCTTATTTCTCAGAGAACATCTCGTTGAGAAAGAAATGAGGGACTTTGACTGGTTCATTTTCTTATGCATTATGCGTTATGCATGACTTCGATCCATAGAGAATCTCGGTGTCGCCGACACTTTAATCATCTTATCGCATTAATATTTGGTCTCTCAAGTCCCCGAAGGGCTGAGCGGTAAAACCTACGTGAACTCTGAGTGGGCAATTGTTCATTCGTTCCTCAGAGTCTCTGAAAGTTTTGGAGAGTAAGGATGAGATGATAGCGACGTAAACGAGATAAACGGATAAAGAAGAGCGGGACCAGGCAAAGGCAAAGAGGGCTATCGTCGACGCCGCATAGTCTCACGTTCCAGGAAGTTGGCCGACGATGGATATCCGCACGGACCATCTTGTACTCTATCGATACAACGTACCTTGCCTGGCGCTGTAGCCTTTCTTTCGTCTCCTCTCTCAACTCCGAGCATTCCGCATTTTTTGCATGCCTTATTCCTCTCCGTAGTTCGCCTCCTTTCTAACAATTTTCATCACGCGATTGGCACCGTGTAACTTCTCTCCCGAGTTAAATATCGAAGACCCGTCCTGCGAGGCCGACTTGTCACTTTTTGAGACAAATGCATTTTGTACTTGGAATAATTATTGGCAGGTGGAAAATTTCCGTGACGTTACGAATATCGATGGCCTCTTTTTGACAGAACGCAGTTTTTCTCGCATAAGCATTTAATGAGACCGGATATTGGAGTGGAAGTTGGAGTCACAAGTGCGAATCTTTCTTCATTTACATATTAATTAATGAACAGGATTATGAAAGGAAAGTCCAAATTCGCAGAAGTGAAAAGACAATCGTCTCGTGGCACAGAAACATTAATGAGATGCTACGCGCAATGTGAGGCCTCGTTTACCATGCAATTGCCGTAAAGATTCATTCGCGATCAGAGTACAAATTTATGCGCTATCGAAATAAGAGAAAACAACATTTTTCATAATTAGACCAAATTATCCATGGCACGTAGAGATCGCTCTTATTTCTCAGAGAACATCTCGTTCCTAGAAAATCTCTCGAGACCGTGTTTATTCGTGATTGAAGGATGAAAACCGGGAAGAAGGGGGAAAGTTGAACAAACATGGATTACAGCTATGTCAATCGACGAAAGAGCGCGATATTACTTTCTAGGAAGAGGCTTCATCTAATCATAGAGCTCCGCTCGAAATCGGATCTACGGGATTACTACTCCGATACCCGGAAAATGATTACGCGTTACGCCCATTCCTCGTAAAATCGCGCGATATATTATTACACGCGTTATTGCCAAAGTGCAAAGCCTTTTATTTAGATCAGACGGATTTTCCAGACGGGGGTACGATTGCCGGAGGGAGCGAGCGCGGCGCTCGCAAAACCGACCAAATATCACTATTATCCGCACAATCAGCATATCTATTTGCTGCCGGAATGCGCCGTTCAGCAGGTGTGCAATGCTGTTTACGTCCGATTGAATTTCACGCAACCGCTATGCGCCTGTCCCGGAAGGTACCGGGATCCTTGTAGTGCATCCTTGGACAGTGACGACCTGCACACGACCGAGCTGGTGACCGATCCGCGAACCAAGGTTAGTGAAGATTCCCTCGAATGATCGAGGGAGTTGAGTTTTTATCATCCTATTTTGTCATTTCAAAAGTTTATTTCTATACAGTACAAAACTTTTGTATTTGTGTTAGAAACGATCCATTCAAATCTTTGTTAAAATTTTGTATTGAATTTTTAACATATTCAAGTACTAATTTAATTTAATATGATTATGTTGTTTAAATATTTTGTGTTAAATCGAGGATATTCAACATTTGTCAAAAGAATGCGATTTAGGAGCAAGTAAATAAATAACATGAAATAATGTTTTAAATTTTAAAATAAATGAATAAAAATTAATTAACATGTCATAAATATTAATTTTACTACAAAAATATGCCTTCACAGTTTGTTTACAAATTCTGTCCGTGTCACATTTTTTTTTAATCTTTTTACATGTTTGTTACTTTTTAGCATATTCATCTTGTATTATAAATTAACACAAAAATTTAAGTGAATCGAAAATTTGAGATACAAATTTTCTAATTGTTTATAATAATCATTATCTATCCGAGTCTCATTATTAAGACAAAAAAAAGGACATCATACGAAAAAACATCATCTAACAAATATGCGAGATATTTTTAGCAGTTTTTGCACAATAAGAAGAAGAAGAAATCATATATCAGTCATTTATTTAATAATCTGATAATCTGCGTTCGCGAATTATGGATAAAAACGAACATGTGTATAAACACGTATATAAACAATTGAGGAGTTTCCGTTCGAGTTGCAAAACTAAAAGTTGCTGTTCCTCTAACACGATGTGTTTTATTTTAACATTTCAAGCGTTAAGCTATTACGGAAACGGTACCGAGGCATGGCGCCATTCCTATGGCATGACCAACCGGCTGTTGATTCTCTCAGAGAAGCTCTCTCAGGCGCTCTTAACGCGAGTTTCCTGCCGTGAGAAAAACTCGTTCACTTTCGTTCGGTGTATTAACCGTGACTTGCATACTGACGAATCGCTACTTAAAAAGACGATTTTAGAAGCGAACCGAAATATTCGTCGCAATCTACCTCGTATTTCCGTAAGTTGTTCCCGCGTAGACCGCTTTCACGTAATTTCAGTCTCGTTATGTTCCTGCGGCTTTATTATTATAACATACCGTAAAACGTAGCGTACCAGCAACGTTACGGCTATGCAATAAAGAGAGGTTCTCGAACCGCATGGACATGGATACTTATGGACGAGATAATCAATATAATCAATGATTGCTCAGACACGCTAATCGCACCCCACTCAAGTGACATGATAATGCTTCATCTTAAACTGTTAAGATAGCTCCGTTCTAACGCGACACGTATTCGTGCTAACGGGATTACGTAACGTGCGTTTCTAACCGAAAGGAAGAAACCTGTACAAAAAATACGACCTCGCTTATTGTGGCCATACTTATTCCAGGCCTTGACCTTGGTGAAAACGTGTGAGCCGGTCGCCGAGATGCGAGAGTGCAGAGCATCGCGCGACTGGTCCCTGTTGGCGTTGCAGAACGTGCGTACGGGAAAGTCTCACTATCTCGTAATATGCCGATGTCCCGACACAAACATACTCGGTGAGCGAAAAACTCCAAACTTTCGATTTATCAATACAATCCGTTTCTATCGACGCAATTTAATTTCAATCTTGTTTCAACTAACTCTTCGTCCTTTCTAGTTCTAAGAATTAAGAAAAGAGTAAATTGAACTGAGATTAAAGTTAATCTCAGTTTAACATTAGTAGGAATAGATCTAATTTCGAAGATCAACACATACAATTCAGACTCAATGTGACATGAAGAAAGCTCTTGAATTCTTAAGCCCGCGTTTTTATAATATGTAATGTTACTCTGTGTAATAAAAAATTTGATAATGCAATTGATTTATGACGGTGACACTAATTAATTAAAAATTAACGCTAAAAAGTTGTAAAAGTTGTGCTAAGATTGGAAGTTTTGAAAAGTAACTTATCACCATGCGTAACTTACTAAAAAAAGTAATAAATAATGCGTATTATTAGTCGTTACAAGTAATGATTGATTTTTCCAATTCTAGTGTTACCATTAATCGTAAAAAAATTGCAATGTCATCAACCAAATCGTTATTATGGAAAGGTAACGATCAACAAAGTAACGGTGCTATAAGTAACGCGTTACTTCCCAACTCTGATCTGTGTGTGTGATTATTACCTAAAGATTAAAGGTTACCAAGAAATTTATGTAAAATTCATTCATGCATTTCTTGGTAACGGTCTTCTTTAATCTTTAGGTAACCGTATATCATGAAAATGCTTTATATCCATATCAGACTAGAGATTGAGATCGAGATTGAACTTGACCAATCGGAGCAAAGTTCACTGAACTAGAAATTGGTTTTCTTTCTTCTTTCGTCAAATTTAGTTTCAATCTCAATTTCTAGTCTGATACAGAGTCATCGAATTTAATATTTCGACAAAAGCAGCGGTTTATATAACTACTATCGCTTCTCGTCTTTTTTCATAGAAGGACCTATGAGCCACGATCAACCGACTTACGCCAGCGTCCCGGGTATTCGGGTGTACGGAATGATGTGCGTACAGGGAAACAGAAGAGGACGACCGCTACGATATTCGCGCAGTGTTTTTGGTAAGCATTCTAGACTCTAATATCGTTTATTTTTTTCAAAAGTTTGTGCCGGATTTCTCTGAATTATATCTAACATACGTTCGATGTGTTAAAGGACACGCAGAGGATGAACCACGTTTCCCTTGGGACAAGGTGCGACAGTTATTGGCGATGCCATCTCTCTGGGAATAGTTTCGCGATATCCCATCCTGTATCTGCCATCGACGAATTTACGCGTTAATTTATAATGCTATTATATTTATAATTCTCCCAGCCATTCGAATCCCATGCCCGAACTCTCTTCATCTTCCTACCATTTCCCTCTTATTACTCTCACGTTTTCGTACCTCTCGAACGGGCGCATCATGATGTAAAGTAATGTAAATTAACATTAATTAATTATTAATTTCATACTACTTAATTTTTCGTTCAAAGAATTATTTTTGCTCTATCTGCATCGATTAATTGTTGATCAAAAATGTCAAGTCAGAGGTAAGGTAATTTTTAGAAACTTTTTAAACGCAAACATCAGCGTGTCCGCACGAGAGTTAACAGACACAACAGGATGAAATCGTCTATGTCACTTGTATTCTCATCTTTATATATATATATTAATTATTCTTAT